CGTTGCTGCGAGTGGAGCCAAGGGGTGGGGACCGGTCGAGGAGGGGGTTCTCGGCGTCGTCGTTCTTGGCCATTATCTTAAACAAAAGTTATACGTACAAATTGATAAATGAATAATCTGTCGTGTTTTTTCATTTTCTAACTCTAGAACAAAGATGGAGGATCTGTTATTTGACCGAGTTCGACATCAGCAAGAGTAATACACGCGCAGAAACATAGGTAGCGGGAGTGCAGGACCGTGATTAAGCTATAAATAGTTAGTAATTTACACAACAGAAACTTAAGCAACACACAATTTGTTTTGCCAAGAATATAATTTACACCCCTATTTATTGGGGCTCATGAAGGATCATTCTACAACTCATTCTTGTAGTTTCATGTTAACTTAGAATTTGTGTTTTGCATAGGTAGAATCATTATCAAATTTTAGAATACAGTCAAATCACGAATCGACAGTATCGACTGCCCCTGATTGCATATCGAAAATATCGGTGCTATGTCATGAACCGAAATCATAAAAGAAAATAACAATACAAGTGAATAATAGTTACACAGTTATGAGTGGTTGCTGGAACTCAATCCTAATTTCTTCTTTCATTTTCCTAATAAATTCTTCAAACTTCTTGTTCAGCTCCTCTGTACTTACGCTCGCATCATTCACATCCTCCATTGTTGATTTCCTGTGCACAACTCCATCATCATCATCATGATCATCGAGGTTTTCTGAAATAATAATGCCAGCTGTATTCTCATCATTAGCATCATCTTCTTCGTCTTGTTGTGTCATCTGCTCTGCTTCTTCGTCGACGACTCCCATGACATCTTCATTGGCGGCCGCCGACTCTACTAGAACGAGGGACATTTCCGTAATTTGCTTCAAACCATCTTCAACCGTCTTCATGGCCTCGCCGTGGTTGAAGCCGAACGAGGAGCTGAATTTTGAATTCTTGGCGAGAAAGGCGAGTATAGCATTGCAAATCAAGAACATGTATTTTCTGTCCGGAAGCCGAGCAAACAGTGGGAAAAACAAGGGAGATGAAAGATGAAGATTATATGAGGAATATGAACGAGAAAACAAAGGATGTGGACATAAGAAGGAAGATAAAATGGAAAGCAGGACCAAAAACTGAAGTGTTCTTTTGATAAGCTGATAATAATGCTTGTGATTTCTTTTAACAGTGATCAAATTCATCTCTGGAGAAAATGTGAATGATAATGAAGGTTTTTGTTATACTTTCCAGTAATGTGATCGTTGGGTTTTGAATTGCAAGAACAATGAACATTGGGAAATATATGTAATACGACCCTAAACAAAGAAAAGGCAAATTTTACCAAAAAAGTTGGCTAAAGTGGTAAGCAGTTTGATGTCGCTTAAGCAAAGTCTTGGGTTCGAGTTCTTGTGGATGCAGAAAACCCTTGTTGGGAGACTCACCCACCACTGCTAGGTATGCGACTGAGTCAACCAACGGATTAGTCGGGGCATAGCTCCAAATGCCGTGGCTGACTACAAAAAAAAAANNAAAAAAAAAAAAGGATGCCGTGACTGGCTACCAAAAAAAAAATACAAATTTTTAATTAAATTATTTGATTTGGTTTGGTAGTGGCCGGTCGTCCCGATCCCAACCCAACCCACAACTAGCCCGTAAGTTGCATGTTCCAAGAACCGGTATCATAGCTTTACGGTCATTTTTGGGTCCATTTTTTTTTTTTAGTCTTGGCGATCCGGAACTGGCCAAGACAGGGCCGGTTGGACGGACCGACCCTTGGTTTTTGGCTGGCCGGTAAGGGTCACCCATGGGAAGCGGGCGACCCCGCCGGGCCAGTTAACTCGCCATTGTTGGGAAATAAGGTCGGATAAGATGGAATAATAATAACACACCAATGTGAAATCGATAAAAGACACGAAAGTTTGTCAACCCAGTTCGGATTAAATCCTACGTCTCGGGGCGAACCAAGCCAGGAGAATGAACTAGAAAAAGAGGATAAACCGAATGTTACAACTCACACAAGCCCGTATGAATACACTCTCTCTACTCTTTTTCTCTCTATCTCTTGTTATGTTTTCTTTTGTTGTTGTGATTTGGTTCATCACAATCCCTCTATTTATAGAAGAAGAGTACACATACTTTTTTCCACATTTGTGTACTATTAATGTGAACAAAGAAGAGTTGTTGGCAATATTTGTCAAATGGTATTGGCTCAACTACCCATTTTTACCTAACAATCTCCCACTTGAGGACTGATTTCAATCT